GGGGTCCGGCTCCACGAGGCGCGGCCCAGGGGCTCCCTCCCGCCGTGCGCGGGGCCGGCGGCTCCTGTCGCCCGGTGGACGGTGCTTGTGTCGCCCGGTGGACGGTGCTCGTGTCGCCCGGGCGTGTTAGCGCCGGTAGGGGACTGGCGTGTGCCCGGAGAGGAGGAGGCGGCGGGCGGCGCGTGTCCCGCTCTGCCTGCAGCTGCAGTGGCGGCCTCTGGGGGCAGGGGGAGGGCTCGGAAGCATGCTCTTCAAGATACTCCTAACGGCAAGGTGAGGAAAATAATGCATCTCGGTGTTTCTTTAAAGCCCTGCTTATGTGCTTGTCTAACTTTCTTTAGCTTTTCAGCGGATTTTAAACTACAGCACCAGCGTCGGACTGATGATCTGTACGTCTAAATAAACGGAAAGAATTTGAGTTAAATGAGCTGATAGGTTAACACAATTCTGCTCAAAGGGAGAACTATTCGGAATAGTCAAGACTAGAAAAGATCAATAAAGTCAAAGGAATACAATTTCTAGGACACACAGTTTAATAGATTGCACTTGCCTATCCTGAGTACCTGTGCACACTAGAGGAAAAATTAAACAACTCAGACACACTTACGGATAAAAACTCGGGAAGAAAGACGCAAGCAGTAGCCAGGAGAGCATGGTTCGTGTTCATGCCTGATTTTTCCATATATACAATTGGTTTAGAAAAAGTAAGCTAATTTCTAGGTGGATAAAGAGTTGGGCAAAGGATCATTCCAACGTTTTTATAATACTACTGAAGAAATTAGTGTAATCCTCCTCATATCTTCAGCAGGATGCCTCAGAAAAATGGAGAGGTCCAAAAAGGACAGTGACACTTGTCAGAGGTAAAAAAGTTTTAAGGCCATTTATTTTGACGTGACAATATGGAGGTTCTGGACTTTAAGTGTAAATATTAATTCAGTTGAATACACTGAAGTATTTTTTATCAAAATACTGATGAAGACTTTTGTAAGAAATTAAAACATTTAAAAAACCCCAAACCAGCAAACTAATATGATAATACAACTGTATGAATCATTTGCATCAGCAACCTTACTCCCTGATACTGAAGACAATCTCTTTGTGTAGCACCTTGTATAAAGTGATAGAGTTTAGCGTTAACAGCTGTTTAGAACTTTGGTGCTTTCATGCCTAGACAGAATTTATTTTGCTCTTTACTTTTTAATGTCATTTTATGAGTGCTCTGACATTATTCTTTAGTTTAATAACACTTTTTTTTTTAGATGTTTAAGGTTGCATATAGTTTTTGGTCACATTCCTATTGTTTATGTAATTACTTGAGGTTTGCAACTTCTCTTTCAAAATGAGGGGCCCAGTCAGTTTTCTACACTCCAGCTCAGTTTTAATTCCATAAAAGGTTTGGGGAAAATGCTATGTGATTAAATTGTAGATATTTACAGGTGGTGACCTGTAGAGAAAAAAGTCACCACAGCTTTTCAGCAATAAATATGTCAGATTATTTGATAGGTTAACTGGTATAGTAGGTGAGGAGATGATATTGATACACAAGATCTTGACTGTGGTAAAGCTTCCTCCATTACCTTCGCAGTGAGAACTGCACATTATAGAACGCACAACAGATACGCTTCTTATAATTTGTGTTCTCAAAGGATTGAGGAAATACTAGAAAATGTAGTTATCAGATGCCTTCCAAACTGAAAGGTATCTTAGGTGGGTGGGTCCTGCAAGACACAGAAACTTTTCAAAAGTAAAGTAAAACATGGAATAGGACTCTTCCAGTCTACTCAGAGTCCTCAGCTGGAGTAATTTTTCAGCTTTGTGATGCCATTGTAGAGATGATGCAGAAAAACTGTAAAGTCTAGAGGAGAACAACATAAAAGATACAGCAGACATTTCACTGTTGAAGATTACTTGAAGGAATTGACTTAGTTTATTTTAGAAAAGTGTGAAAAGTTCTGTACATCATATATTGAGAGTGGCAATTACTTTTCATAGCTTGGGAAAGAAGTACCAAAATAAATTGAGCTTTAGATCAGATGTTAGGAAAATACTAATCTTTGTAAGGATGGAGCACTCGTGATACATCCTTAGGGTTTTTAAGGAGAGGTTAAACAACCATCTGGCAGCAATAGTATAGATTTTCTAAGTTCTGCTTCCTCAGTTGTGGAGGTAGGGCTTTGGCTTCCCAGGCCAAGATAGACCTGTGGTTGTCCTTTTGGCCCTCTGAGTGTTTTTGCCACATGTCATAGCAGAAATTTTTGAGACTGGTTTCTTTGACTTTGAACTGCATGATTTCATTCCATTTCTGTTACTGCAGAGCTCTTTCCTCCAGAGACAATATTATATAGAGAAATATTTTATTATATTTTTTTCCAGGGTTTCATGTCTCCCTGACTAAAATTATTATCTCCTGTGAATACTTTAGAAAGTTTCTGTGTTGCTGCCCAAAGTCTTCCCAAGGAATTAAAAAAAAAGTCATGCAATTCTTGTCAGTTCCCCAGCTGTCTATTGAACTCTGAAAGCATCTCTGAAGCTGAACAAAATTGTGCTAAGAGATCAATTGCAGCAGAAAAGACAGTGAATCTATGCACAGAATCAGGAGCATGCCTTCGTAACCCTTTAAATTCTTCTGAATTTGTTGATAATACTGAAACCAAAGGCTTCTGTTAGATTCTTGCATCCTGTACATCATATTTTTCACTAGACAGGTACAGGACTTTATTATTCAGTACTGCTGGATTTTTTCAGTACCATATTTGCTTTTTTTACAGGAAAAAAAAAATCAAACTCTTTCATATCTTCCCTTCTTACACTGCATATTTGAATGAAAAATCCCTGTGCCACTTTTTCTAAAGGCTCCAAGGTTAAAGATAATATAATTCAAAGGAAGGTGCGTGTCTCATTATACACATGCATGCACAAATGTATATAAAATTTCTTTTTAGTGTAAATTATCTTGATCCTTTGTTCTTTTCAGTTGGGGGCTGTTAGAATATTTCAGTGCAGAAGGAATTTTCTTGGCTGCTCTTTTAACCTCAAACAGACAACAGCTTCCAGAGTAAGATGTGTAAATCACAGTTTTCAGTCATACTTTCTCAGAAGATAATGTTTCTTTGTGAGCACCAAAAAAACTGTAGGAGGTAGGAATTAAACCTGCAGGAAACCTTGATTTGTGAATGTTTCCTTTAACTCTAAACTTTGCAGATAAGAGATCTCTGCATGGCATAAAATAGTAAGCATGCAGGAGAGAGTGGTGTAGCCTGGCATGGAATATTTTAACAGCTTGAGCGCTACAGGGTGAATAGTCCTAAAGCACTGATAAAAATGGTAACATCTGTGTAGATTGGGGTAAGCTCCAGCACCCTTACAGATTTTGCTGTTACAATGGAGGGCTGTGCCACCTCTGTGGTAACTTAAACATCTTTGTCAGCTATGTTGACATCTCTGTTTCCTGTCATGATAATGGGAACTCTTATCACAGGAAGCTTAACTTACGATTCTTCAGGATATTCAGTTCTGTTGCAGAAGAGCTTCAGTCACTGCTGCTTTACATTCCAAATTCAACTTTACCTGACCAAAAGAGATGGGTCTGTCTATGTGTTCTATTGCTGCTGTGACGCTTCTGTAAGACCTTGAGAGAACAAGGTTCTCAGTGTTACAGCTGGTGGATCCAGTGTCATACCTTTCTTATGAGACACTGAACATGTAAGGTTACTTCTTTAGTGCAGTCAGAATGTTTGAAGGTTGCTGGAAGTTATTTTTTCCAGACAAGTATGAATGGTGATTCTAGATCATGGAGGAAACATGTTTGGATTTAAAGACTGCAAAGCAGCAATAGTTTTAAAATACATGTTAAAAAAAATATTTCATTTCACCACTTTCTAAAACTTGCATTTGTCATTCTGTTTCTCCTATTTTAGACAAGGATCTAAGTTGCAAAATGAATGTATAGATGCATTTCCAGTTCTGCTGTCAACGTGTTACAAGGGAAGAATTAAGTTCTGAGGATCTGAAGTAGCATCTTAGCAGACAGAAAATATAGCCTGTGGCTCATTTGATGATTTTTATTGCATACCTAAAATAAGTATATTGCACTATACATGTAGTGCTGCAAGTTTCAAATCTGCAGCGTGTTGCAACATTCTCTGTATCTACAGTTGTAGATCCTGACTTATTTTCATTTTTCTGTGTTTTTTCCTCATGCTGTAATGACTGTACAAGGTCCTTGCTTCTCCTTCTAGATCTTGTCTTTGGTGTTTTATGTGCTGTGCCTAGTTTTGCCAAAAGAGAGGATGTGGGTAGTTTGGAAGACTAAAAGTTTTTTCTGTGATTAAACATGATTCTAAAATATATTTCCATCAGTGTTTATGCACACAGACTGTACTACAATGCCATCTACATTGCTGCCTTGAACAGTGCAAGTTTACTCTGATAAACACTTCATCAAGAGACACCAAGAATACATGTTATGTACAGGACAAGAAGAAAGATGAGCTTAGAGAGAGTCCCTAACAATGCTGCAGCAATGTGGTCTGTTCTTTCAGGCACCCTTGGAGAGGGTCAGTGACATCTTAGGGCCTTGTTAATGAACCAGTTGTCTGTCAACCTTTTTAACAGACAACTTTTCCCAGACATCAGGACATGAAATTACACGTCTGTGGATTAGTTTTGTTCACTGGTGAAGTCAGGGTTGTCTGGACTGACGCTTGGAAATGTTTTGCAAACATTGTGAAGTGGTATTTTATTGTGCTGTGAGTCACTGAAAGTTTTACAGGGTTAATGAGTAGGGAAACTTTTTTTACCGTTTAAATAACTTAAGTTTCCAAAGATTTTTTTAAATACAGTTTCATAAAAAGCTCCTAAATTCTGTGTCCTGAGGTATGGAGGATCTGTCCATGAAAGATAAGAATGCTGAGAAATATGGAAAATGCTGTTCCAATGGACTAATCTGGCACTTGGGAGCTGAGGTTCTGTGTTGAGCCTCAGAACAGTAACATAAATACAGACTGGCCCATTTTCTCTGTGTGTTTAGTCCTGCTCTAAGTCTCCACCTTCTTTGAGGGGTGGTGAAAATAAAGATGTAAGATTAGTATTTATTATAGAGTATATTTAATATATATTTAATCTTCATCCCCTATCCAGTGTTGTCAGTAGGGAAGTATTACTTGACCAGCAGTGGTTTCTTTTTATGTTCTTTACTTGAAGATTTCAGTTTATTGCTGTTTTGAGCTGTGTCTGACACATCACGAGAACACCAGGTTGCTGTGGGATGTAAAGTTTCTCATTGTAGTGTACCTTAGTTAGATTTGAACCTGTGAGCAATGGGATAAGAAATTGAAATTTTGGCTTTTAGAAGCTTATGGAGAAAGAGAAGATGGTGCAAACTGCACCATTTCTAGGAGAAACTGCAGCTTGACCACCATGGCAGCCTTGGTTTTCAAACAGTTGTAACTGCTGAGTGAAATTCCCTGTCATCCAACCAGCCCAAGCAATGTTTGTAATGCAAAATGACAATGCTGTGGCTAAAAATGCCCTTTTTTTTCTAATGCTCACGCTAAGGAACATACAGGTTTATGTCTCCTGTGTTGTTCTTAGATTGGTTTCTATTAAATGCACTTCCTGTGTTTTCCAACATGTTATGAAAATGTCCATATTAAACAGACATTTTAATAAACAGAGGTTTTGTTTTCTTTCTAAGATGTAGTATGGTAGCATTGAAAGGATAGGGACAGGTTTTGTAGTACTTTGGCCTGTAGCCATTCATATTTGCAATCCTGAAAAATCACTGCTTTGAACATACTCTGTGTCAAGCCAATTAGCCTGAGACCTTGGGTCAAGTTTAATGCTCTGCACAGAGTTCTACATACTGTGAAAACTACACTCCTCTGCTTTATCAGTCAGCTATGGTTGGCTCCAGTTTATACCAGCTGCTCTCCTGGGTTGTCAGCATGTTATCCATGGGGTCATCTGCTGGCATATTTTATCCATTTTTGAATGTAATGCAGTTCAGTCTTTCTGCAATTTGAGAATTCTAGTATACATATTAAGTCGGTGCATTCTTGTACTTTTGAATGAAATAACTACTAAGGCACGTATAATTTTGGGGTTTGTTTTCCCCCCAAAGGAGGTCTCTGATCTGAAATAAAAATTATTTCCATTTGTTGCAGACAAGAAGAAAAGGTGGACCCTCTTGTGCTCCCATTGAGGGCGAGGAGAGGATTTAGGAAGCTTCTGAAAAGACTGCACTGTTTTTCTCTCTTCTCTGCAGTTTCAACGTTAGAGCCAAGTGCTGTTGTGGCTGTGGAAAACACACTCCTGAGAGAGAGATCTGGCAGAGGGGGGCGCTTCAGGTTAAGATGACTTGCCTGGGTCTTTTCTGGGACTGGCAGTTTGCCCTGCTACTTTATTTAGGGAGCAAAAAGGAGACTTCAGTCTTCTGGGCTGTCAGATTGCCATCTTTCACCAGTCTTGCACTGCACATATGACAGTTCTTTAAAGAGAAAACTCCAAAATCCTTTATACTGTGATCACTGCAGACTAAAATAAAATGATTCACATGGCTGTTCTAGTTTTGAAGCTCCTGGTGAATAGCTGGAGGGTCTTGCAGCAGCAGTCTTGAAGAAGAGCTTAGAAAACTATCATGTTCCTTCTCCAGTGATATGTATCATAACGTTTTCCACCACTCCATAATCTGTGTTGCCAACACTAAATATTATGATTTGGTCAATTTAGGGGTTTATGACATGTAATTTTGTCATCTGGCTTTCATATTTGGTACTATAGCAGGAATGGCTTTCTCTAACAACAGGGAAGCCTATACTATGGCTAGTAGCTGGTGCTGTCAGATAAATAGTTACTTGTTATTTTGTGAACACAAGGAGCTGAAGATGGCTGCTTTAGACTATGTAGGAAACTAAAAAAAGTAGCGATCTGCGGTAAGTTCTGCTGTTATTAGTTTTCAGTGACCATCTTGCTGTAGCTGGTGACAAATACAAGTATTTCTCATCCCAAGATGTGGTTCAAGGGATCAGTCTGTTGCCATCCATAACTGATTGCATAACATACTTCCCAGTGGAGAAGTGAACAAATAGAATTTTTAAAAGAGTGTTATTAAAGAGAATTTTGTGTCATTTTTTTACATAAAACATTTATTGAGGTTTCTGAGTATATGTGACAGATGGTGCTCTTATGTCACATCCTATCTTTCATTTTGTTTTGGAACATGCAAGTCGTCCATGCATGCATAATTGCATTACAACATTGTAGGGTTTCTTTGGTGTACTCACTGAAACATAAAGGAATAATCCAATGTGAGATCTTTAATGGGGGGTTGTGCTAGCAGTGCTGTTAAGCTGTTTGCTTTGATATTAAGTGCTGGCTGACTAGTATGCTTTATGATTTTTGGCTTCTTAAGGTAAACTTCAGGTGTAAAGGAAAAAGTGAGAAGTTCATAAGTCATCAATCTGTTGAATGCATTCGAGTAACTAGACAGATGATATTTAATATATAATAACACTTTTTGCTCCACATTCTGAAGCATATAAAATGAATAGTTGCCTCTCAATGAAAGAATACAGGTGTATTTGAACTTTCCAGCTTGAGTACACTTCATATGCCAGTGCCTTAACATTTTATGATGCAAGTTAAATATCTGTATGATTCTAAAAATGAAATGAAGATAAAGATATCTTAATTTTCATTATATGTGGCATTACTTTTCCCCTTTCACTTAACTGGAGAGTGAACTTGAGCTTGACTTCCATTAGAATGTTGTCAACCTAACTTTTGTTTATATGGCACCGTGAATAACTTCTCCTGTCTATCTTATGTCTGGACTAGTGGATAGAACAGACTGGACTTCACTGTTGCCCTTGGCTTACATTGAGCAAATTTGTCCGTTGTAGTGCTTTTTTAACTGAAGAGTGTTTTGCAAGGAATGTAGGGATTATCTCTATTTTACAAATTGGGCAACTAGAAATGTATGCTAGGCATACAGATATACAAAGCCAACAAGCTGATAATGTTGCTGGAATCTTTAACTTGAGTCTTATCCCACTTATAATTATTTTGACTGGTGACTTTTGATGCTTCATTGTTGTTTGTATGTATGCATTGAAGATAGTGAGGACATCTTTCTTAATAATGCAAAAAAAGAGAAAGGAAACACTTAAACCAAGTGAAACCAAGAATATTTCCACTCAGTGCATTGTCAGTCACTGAGTCCTTTACTATCTTTATTGCTATTATAGTTGCATAAATTCATTTATACCTTCTTTTATTGGCTTTTGAACATGGTTTTCAAAAATCTGATCAACTGAATAGCTGTCCATTGCTGCTCTGGCTTTTGTGGATCAAGGCAATTCATGCCTAGGGCTGTCAGCTAACTGTATTGACACACTGTTGGTTGATTAAATAGGTGTTGAATATGACTGATTTCTGGTCTGGTTTTGCAGTAAAGTCTTAGACATCATGTTTTGTTCTTTAGAACATTGGTCAAGTAAACTTGAAAACATTTTTGTGTGTATTCTGTGCTTCTGAAGATTATTTAATCTCCATCCTAACCTTCAAGCATTACACTGTGTAATATTTCAGTGACATTTGTAATTTCTTACAGCATCTATGTACTTTGACACAGCCTAACTGATGTTTCATCATAAGATAAATCAACCATTGCAGTATTGGAAGTGTAAGGGCAACTATACTAGTAATGGCTGATAAGCGACATGGGCCAACTTGCTAGGCTAGTTATGTTGCTTATGCTGGATGAAAAGTACATCAGAAACCAAGTGTTTTTTTCCTTTTAGTAGTATAAAGGTGAGATGAGTAAAATTAGTCTTGGGTCAAAACCTGTCTAAGGAAACTGATGTGTGTGTATCAACTTCTTTATCATTTGTATAGCTCCAAATGTAAAATGCACCGTATGATAGATGGTTGCTGTCAAAGGAGTGATAGGATGTGGTGAGACAAAGTGAGTAGCACATGACATGTCATGCAACAACCTTCTACTTGATTTTCCTTAGTTACAGTGTACATTACATAGTTTTAAATGATCAGAACTAAAGAATGTAATGTTTCTTTTTTATCTTGGAGCATGGCTTTGTAAGCTGCAGTGTACCTTTTCATTATGTTAAACAATAGTTGTGTTACGAGGAACAGGCCAGTTAAAGGTCTTGTACTTGTTCATATTGCATCTCATAACGATATATACTTCATGCAGGTTTGCTGTTGGGCAAACTAATATTTAATTGATATCACAAGTAATTGCTACTTTCTGCCTGGTTTAACAGTTGTGTACTGAACCATTTCTAGTGGAGTTGCTTTTGCCTCGGCATAGCCACTCTTTGTCAACATACTAATATACACAGAGGCGCAATAAGCTGTGGTTTGTAACAGCCATAAACTTGTCTATAGCACTTGTGATTTCCATTCATTAGACTCATAAAGTTTGTTAAATTAACTCATTAGCTGTTAATTAGCATAATACCTGTTAGGAGTTAAGGAATTTATGCTGAGGTGTCAACCATATTGAAATTAAATTATAGTCTTATTCTTGAGTCCTTCAACATTAATGTGTTACCCTATCTTCAGATGACAAATCTTGTGCTTTGACTAAATTTTGAATAATGTTCAGGTTCTTTTTAACCGTTTGAGTACTTTACTTTCTGTTTCCTGTTATTCTTTCTTACCAGAATACTGACACGAGGAAGACTTTTTATTTTTTCCCCTTTATATGAATACCATTTTTTCTGTTCTGTATTTTGATGATTCAGTATTTGCAAGAGCATCATCAGTTTCTTGAATAGTTACAAGTATGGTCCCATCCAGTTTTTGGTGGGTCATATTTCTAGTTGCTACCACATGATGATTTTCTGATTGGCTTTCTGAAATTTGAGTTCTGTGGCCTAGCAGCTGGGTAGACCAAAAATTTTGGCCTATTTGTTTCTGATTATCAGCTAGATTCTTCGACCTATTGAAAGGGCCAGGCCAGAAAGAGACTGTGGAGCCTTTAATGCCTGGCTATTGATGAAGGGTTCCCTGTGATGTGAACAGAGCATGTTAGTTCCTGGGTACCAGTCTGTAACTTAGCAGCATCTAAGGGTGTGTGTGGAGTGTGTTCATGTGGTTGTGAGTAGTTTTACCTGCTTGATGGGAAATCATGTAGTCCTGCAACTTTCAGAAGGAATGAATGTAGAAAGATCTTTTAAATTGAATGAATATGGCTTTGTGGCCTCAGTGACCTGAACTTTGGATAACATACTTTTTGGAAAGAGCATACATTTTGACTACCTGTGCAACATAATTTTAACAATTCTTGGACACAGGCCATTGCTGCAAAGCTAATATGTAGCAAGAAATCAACCAGCATTGTCTAGAAAAGGGTTACCAGTGCTGCAACAGCCTGTAATGAAGGACTGTAACAGCAATGCAGTGTGATAAAATAGGTTGGTGTTGGGGTTTAGGTTTGGGTTTTTTGGTGTTTTGTTTGTTTGTTTGTTTGTTTTCCCTACTCAGTTCCTTAGAGCTTCCTCATGCTTCCACCTTCCTTAGATGTACATCTCTAGATATGAAACCTTTTGACCTTCTATGCATCTGCCTTAATAGAGAACAGCAGACAGAGTCTGTCAGGTCAGAGCAGGAGCAAGAGGCCCGTTTCTTCCACAAAGTAGCTAGAAATCTAATTTTCAATTCCTTAATGGTGTTTGTTAACAATACTTGATCTTTTGTTTGGTCTGTCCATTTGTAATGGTAAAAATACATACACAGTTTTATGATATCCTTCTGTCATAAGAAAGAATAATTTAATGATTTCCTTATGTGGCTGTGAAGTTGTTCGTTCCCCCTTTTCTCCCTCTGTTATTCTTATTCATAAGCTTCACAGGTGTGGAGGGAATTGCAAGACAACCAAGGAGGCAATAATAAAAGTGCAGGTGCTCTGGATATAATTTCTTAGCCTATGTGATAATGTATCATTGAACTACAGCTCCAGTCAGATGGTCTGTTCAGAAGCTTAATTAGATCTGTTACACACAGACATCAGACTAAGTCAGTGTGGCATTGTTACTTCCCCATAGAGTTTGGCAATGAGAATAAATCCTGTGGTAGTAAGGTAAATGTTCCTTTGCTGCAGTTATGTCAGGAAGCCATATGGGAGGGAAAAGAAGGGGTAAGAGGAGAGGAATTCCCTAGAAAATGTGAGTCATGAAGCAGCTGTCTTTGTATGAAGGAGGAAATACGTGAAATCCAGTCTCAGAGAGTGAAAGAAGGCTCTGACTTTACATATACTCCCTCTTCTCCTATACATAAACTGATTACTGTCTTTAGTTCCTTGTGTTTCTGTTGGAATAATAGTAGGGTCCCTTGGCAAAGTGTTCTCTGCAAGTGTGCAAAGTGTTCTTTTTCATAAGAGTCTTAACATACCTGTTTTAATTTTCTTGTTTTTTAGCTGTATCTTGTTGGAGGATCTTTTGCACTCCGTGAATTTGCTCAAATAAGATATGATGTCCACAAACTACATGGCAAGGTAGTTGAAATTATTTTCTTCACTTTTCCTTTTGATTTCATTTTGTGTACGTACTGTCTTCTAAAGGATTGATAGAACGGGAATTTGCCTTTCACCACTGGGCCCTGGACTGCAGCTGAGGCTCTTAGGCAGTGAGTATTGTAGGTAACAACAAAGGGGCTGACATGGTGATGAATCTTTTTACTGTCTGTGAAGTGGATCAACATAAATAATTGAAAAATTTTCTTCTGTGGGTTGATTGTAAGTGGCAGTTCTGAATCCTGAGGAAGAAGTGTAGCATAACTAGGAGGAGGTTATTACAGAGATATTGTATCTGTTTTAGACTAAGAAAATTGATATTTTAAAAAGTTTGTTTTCAAACAACATTTGGAATTGAGCATAGAATGTGAGATGGTTTTGAGGGCTTGGCTTTGTGGTGACAGAGATAAGCAGATAACTTTAACATTGTGCTACATCCTGTTCTTTAAACTCCATAAAAGAAACAGTAGCTAGTCTTTACTCAGTATGTCAGAATATACTATATGGAGGAAGCCTTTCTTTAAAAGAACTGGAAACCTTGTGAATGAGGGAAGTGGCTTGCTTATTAGTGCTGCTTACATCTCCAAGTGTAGCACTAGTTCCAAATTGTATATGATACGATCTGAAAGGAGCATGGCAGTTCAGCAAAAAATAAAAATGGCTTGCTTTCCATAACTTTGTAAGGCACAGTTCTGCCATTGCAGTGCAGAGGCTTTCTGGTCTCAATGCTGCTGACTTGCGGGTGGCATGAAGCTTTTTTAAAGACTATATGGCACTTTATATAAAAAATTTTTGTATAAGACTCAGGATTCTGTGGCTTTCTACTGTGGCCAAATCTTTGAGATCCTGAGCTGTTGAGAGTTGGGAGACCCCCTTGTTTTGTCTTATGATTGTGGGCCATCTAAATTACTTTAATCTTTCTCACTGTTCCTTGTGTTGCATACCTAGCTGCAGCCTTTGAAGCACCATGTGGTCCACTCTTGTTCAGTCCTGTATTTGACATAGCCCATAGACAGGGGAGAGTAATCTTACAGATCTTTCCTCCAGTGATATCTTCTGAGTAGTTATTTTCAATTAGTCCTGGGTTTTTAAGACCAGTTATAGCCTTTGTTTTTTGCCAGCCAGATGGGGATCATATCAGGGGCAAGAATTTGCCTGTTGTGTTTCTGTAAGGTTTTGGTCAGATTCATACTCAGTGAATTATATTTGGCCTTCATGATCTGCACTGTGACTACAGCCCAGATTAAAAACCCAGTAATAGGTGTGCTCATTCAGATCTATGAGACTCCTTGTCCCAGCATTTATAATCAAGGAAAGCATCATTGAATTAGACAGTAGTACATGAAAGCTCTGAGGTGAAGCTACTACACCCTGGAGTTCCTAAGCTCTGAATAGCTGAAAGAGGACATCTGCATTCTGTGCTAACTGGTATTACTTAAGGCTGCAGCATCTCTTTGGTGCTTTCTTTTTCTTTTCATTATGATTTTATTTAGGAATAGATGAAATTTAAATAAAGAACAGTGCAGTATTGGCTGAGAGCTAGCAACACCAACTTTGGGCTCATTTGTAGACAGGCAAGTCAAAGCAATATGTCCCATGAATTTCTATTTCTGTGTCCATAAAAATAGAGTTAAGAACCATTCTAGTTCGTTAAGACAGCCAAAGAGATTAGAATATATTTTATCTGATAAAGAAACCTAGTTTAAAATGTACATGAAATTCAGGAAAAGAACATTAATCTAAATAATTTTAAAACTTAAAAATCTTGATGGTAATATCTGTTTAATTTGTCACTGGTTAAAATGTTTTTGTGTTTGAATAGAATATGCTTTTCTCATATAACATACTTTGACTAGTATAAGTCCTTATCAGAACAGGGACAAGAGTTCCTTTTGGAGGCTTGGACAGTTATATGCAAATCAAATAGGCAATAACATATATAGATTTTCTTTTTTTTTTTTTTTTTTTTTTTACAGTTGTTCTTTTGGAATAATAACTGTTTAATTAAATAACACTTTTCATACCAGGACCTCAAAAGACTTTAACAGAATTTAAATGAATTAAGCTTCATAGCCTTACTGTCAGAAAAGGCAGGATTATTATTTCCATTTTGCTGCTGAAAAAACAAGAGGTTGCAAGAAGTTAAGAAACAAATACAAAAGTATACTAGGATTTGTAATACCTGAGTGCCCATCTTTCTTGATCATGTTTTAAGGATGTGCAAACTATACATGCCCCCTGACTTCGGGAAGCATGACTTCCCAAACTTTTCTTCTTGCTAATTCAGCTGCTAGATAGACAGAATTTAGACAATCCTTTCATGGTATATCTCTACTATGTTTCAAATGATAAACTATGATCCCTTCCCTTCAAAAGTATTTGTCCTTTTCCTTTTTCAGTCTAACCATTCTCTTTGTGTTGAGAGGGAAACGACATTAGTAGGCAAGTTCTAAGTTGAAAATTGTATTTCGAAAGAAACTTTATAGTAGAACTAGTGTCTCTGTTTCAGTGACTGAGGGGTTAAATGCCACTTTGTGTTCTGGTGGCTTAATGAGCAAAAGCTGCATTAGTGATAATGCCTGTGCTATTAATGTCAAACTGGCTTTTGAAGAATGGTCCTTGATAAAGGCGTTAAAATTCAAGAGAAAATGCTGGTTTGGATTTGTGAGGGAGTATGGGTTGAGGGTGATGCATTGGACTGGGCCTAGGATTAGTGTTGGGAGAGAGACAGAGCCTAGAGCTGTATCTGGAGTGGGCCTGGGAAGGGACTGAAAAAGGAATTCTGTTGTCTTGTTCATTTGGGCAGTGACTTAGGATCTTGGGCTGAGGCTTAGCCGGTATGTAGGGTGGAAAGACAGAGCCTAGAGATGTAGTTGAAGAGGGCTATTAGCATCTCATGAACAGATATTTTATCCATTTGGTATTGTATCTTTGGATATCAGGGCTTTGTATATGCCTGTTTCTTGCAAAAGTAAAAAAAAAAATAATTTGGGTACCCCTTAATTTCCTCAGGATACCCAGGTTAGTCATATTCCTTCAGCACACTGAATGTTCTGCATTTAAAGTGAATTTACACTGAAACTCTTATTGATGTAAATGCTTGTTTATGCTAGTCAGAATTCTCCTGAAACTAATCAAGGATTTCTCTGTTATCTATTGTTGCCAAAATGTCCATTAATGGAGAAATCATTAGGTTAGGTAATTGTTTATTTTCTGAGAAGAATTTATGCAAGTCAAAATTGGTTTTATTAAACCAGGTACGCTTACAGGAAAATCATGTGGAATTAATGGAGAAGGAGTAAGTAGGTTTGTGTAGGCATTGTTCCAAACCCCTTTATTCTCAAATGGAAAACTAGGCCCTTTCTTTGTCTTATTTCTCGTTGTGTATGTAATTGAATAGAGATGTTTATTTAAAGAGGTTTTTTACAGAAAACATGACTTCTATTAAATACGCAGAAGATGCTTCCTTTCAACTACATAATAATAAAATATTTTTATTTACTGTGTTCCCATTGTTGTCATTCAGGGCATGGTAGAGGCGTGCTGATTCAGATCTAATTTTGGATATAAGAATCATGGACATGTGGAATGATTTGTACTGTTGACTGATTGCTACTGTAGAGGGTTGAAGAGTAGCAACATATTAACTACCTGGGAAAATCTAGGCTTTCAGACCATCAGCAAACCATTTAGACTAATAAGAGTGTTTAAGCTCCAAAACTGCTTTGTTGAAGAAGTGTTATTGCAAGACAGGTTCTCAGAGTATGGGCAGGGGATAGGACTGAACAAGTTCCTCCAGGGTAACATGCAACAGGAACACTTCTTAGGAAAGCTAGAATCTCTAGGTCATTTTGTCAGGAAACAAAACATCAGTTAGCTTTTGAAGTGTGCAGATGGTTCCTGCTGTGGATTATGTATGATAGTGTTACTGTACTGATCTCATTAGTGTTTACAAGATATGTAGATTCTGTTCAATTTTCCTTTGTCCTATGCAAAGTGAGTTCACCTCAGAAGTAGAATGCTAATAAATGAGAATAATAGTGTTTTCTGTCTTACTGAGGCAGAAAATACAGGCAGTGAAGAGTCGACACAAGTTCAATCTTTCCCCCTTACATGAATTTTGCCCTTGAATTGGCTGTTGTGCATTAAAATATGTATGACCATTGTGTGGCACTCTGGGAGTTAAAATCCAGGTGAAAATGAAAATACTTGACCTGTTCTTTTAGAATGCCATCCTCTGAGCAATAAAACTATAAACCCAGAAAGAGTATTAAAGGAGTGATGGTGGTGCTGTGAAGCATACTCATTAGTAACCATGCTAGGATCGTAAAGCTTTCTTTATTCAGACTGAGTAGATTGCCTTTAAAATTTCTGTAAAGAGAATGGCAGTGTTTTGAGCTCCTTAGTTAATCTTTTTGACCAATTGTCTGGCATGTAATTACCCATGAGACACTGCTTAGACACCTGCAAGGTGTTAGTGTTGCCACTATCAGTTCTCATTGATTGCATTTACTTGGTGTTTTGAAGTCCTAACTCGTGAAATGATATAACTGTGAGGATCTCAGCTTTCGTTTTAGAGTCATAGACCTTGGAGTTGGAAAGAAGAGCACATATGGTGCATAGAGGATTATCCTGTAAGCCTTGCTGTCCTTTCAAAAATAAAAGAATGAGGAGTGGAAGAGAAAGCTAGTACAATCACTTATGACACTCTTGACATTTTATTACTTTACAGCTGATCTTGTGATTGGGTTTGATAGTGATTTAAGTGTGTTGACTGTCTGATTGATTATACTCAGTATTACAGTTTTAGAATATTGTTGGTGGGTCCCTGGTGTTGTCCTTTAACATCATGTCTTGAAGCTCATGAATGGCTGTCAGGAAACTCACAGCAGCATGCAATTTAAATAACTTCCACTGATCTCACTGGAAATTTTATTTCCATCTTGTTCAGGTTCTTGCTTCAGTTCCCTCCTCTACCATGG